TACATTTTTAAATTAAATTATTTGATTAAATTAAGATGTAGACTAAATAATAAGTCTACATTACTTTACACAGTAGACGTTAATGTAAGTCTACCTAGTTGTAGACTTCTTTCTTAAAGTGTAGACCTACGAAGGACAGAATCGTAAAATATACTGCACGTTTTTTGTTTGTTCATAAGGGTTAAATAGTAGTTTTAACCCCCCTTTAGGTTGGGTTTGCAATTGATTGAATAAGGGGTGCACCTTTAGGGTTAAAATGAATATTTGGGTTGGTTTTGGCAAATCCCCCTTAAAAATATGATAAATAAATAAAATTAACTAAATTTATGGAGAACATGACAACTAAGCAAATTTACTTCTTAAATAATAGTATAGATATATTCAGACCTTTTTTCAGATATGTCTTGATCTCTTACATTTTTATTTTCATGTTTTTCATAATCTTATGGTATGGTCGATCTCTTCCATCTCTTTATAGATAGCAAGAGAAATGACAAAAGGAGAGGATGTAAAACAAATATACGGGCAAAGAGATTAGGACGATGTCTGTTGTAGGCAAAGCTGTTTCTCTGATCGTAAATCGATATGATAAGACCTACACTACATATAATGTAACTATTGCATGCTTGCTAAATCAATCCTTATGTAGTTCTTCATACTCTCACAACTTATTCCTTTAGACACTCGCCAACAAAGCAACAAGAGCACAAACGAAAGAGTGAGAAGTGAAAGGGAAGAAGTTATGATCAGAATGTGAAGAAACTACATAAGGATTGATCTTGTTTAAGAGCTAAGCTCTTTTATTGTGAGCATCACCTGTTTATCCCCATGTATATATAGTGACGATCTTTCTCGATCGCAAACTCAAAGCAACATAATCAGTCTAGTGGACTATCTTAATACTAATCATAAAAATATTATTTTGACCTATACTTCTAAGTCAGTGTGATCATTATTGTGTTAACAAAAGCCTATTGTCGGTCTTAGTTTTTCTACACCGTGCGGAAGTAGTGATGCATTAAAAGCAGAACGTGGCAACAAGGTGGAAACAATACATATCGTAATTCCATATATCATTAGGGGAATACATAACACAGACGACCAATTAAGTGGACCGTCATATATAAAGAAACATGAAAACACAAATTCTAAAAACAACACATAACAGTAATATATAGGATACACTTATACTAGTGACATCTTTATTATTCTTAATACTCTCTCAACGATTATATGATAAATCCTTCAACGTGACAACGTCTATATCCTCTCACCCTCACCTGACGCTGCAACCAAACAAATACATCAAACACATTGTTATGTGGTTAGTAACACTCAATAAATCTATATTATACCACACTGAAGTAAAATGAAAGAAATAGAGTGGGAGTAGATTACTTGTTACAGTTGGTTCTTGCGCTGATGGGGTAGGGGATCTTAACACTGCAAGCACGAGGAAGACTAGCAGCACGGCCTGGGTTAAGTTTGGAACCCAAGGATCTAGCTGCTCCTTGGATGCAGCGACAAGCTTGCTGGCGGTCAATGGTGGTCCGAGCCATGCTGTTGAGCCTTCGTACACCAGAGCAGCACCCTGGGGGAATTTTACCACCTTTCATCAGGTAGTTAATGCATTGGCCCAAGTTGCTAGTGACTGCGCCGCAGGAGATTGCTGCCTCGGACGCCATTGGAGCGGACACCAACATGCAGACGATCACCAACGTCGACAACTTTAAGAGACTCTCCATAATCTTAAGTTTTTGTTTTTCTTTTGCTTTAAGTAAGTAATGGATTTGGATGATGAAAGAAAGCTAATAGGGATTGTGTTTATATAGGGAGAGGTAAGTGGGCAAATGCATGAAAGTAAGGGGAGCGGTGTGTGAGTGCAGTTGGTAGTTGGGTTCATTTAATACATAGCTTACTCTCTTTTCTCATCTTTGTTTTTTATACTAGTTTAGTAAATCTATGTCAACTACTACTACATACTGATCTCCGTTTTGTTCTCTTTTTTTTTTTGTCAGATCAGATCTATAGACTATACCAGAAAGTGTAGTTAATTCTTGTATTCACGTAAAAGAACAATCATTGCTCTATATATGTCCAGCTTAGCGAATTGTATGGTAACCAACGTTAGGTCTTGTTATAGAAATAAGGCATGAAGGTAAAACTGAAACTAGAAACATAGTTGTTTTAGATACTTAAGAACTAGGTAGTAACCCGCTCTGTGCACAGAATGAAATACTTATAGATTATATATTGTGTACATTATATTTATAGATTTATTTTATAATCTTATAGGTATGGATATTCGTAAATCTATTCGGATTCAGTTTGTTTATTCAGAATTCAGATTTTTAGAGTTAGAAATTTAAATCTATTCGAATATTTACAAATTTTAGTTTACTTTTGGTTAGAATCATTTCGAGTTCAATTTAGATTCGAGTCCGGATGTCCATTTTAATTAATATTTTCAACAAATATCCAAGTATATTTTAGTTCTTAAAAGACAATAAAAAATATAAAACATAAAAATTTGAATACTATAGGACTAAATATTTAAATTTTCATAAAATTTAGTTTAATTTAAATATTTAAATAAGAACAAATAAATATTATTAGTATTTTGATAATCTACTATTATGTTTAGATATTTAATTGTGATTACGTTGATTAATTTTAGATATTTTCATATTTCTGAATATCTAATAGATATAAATTTTAAAATAATTCACATATTTAAGTATATAATTATGAATTATATATATTGATATCCAAAATAGTTTAGTTTTTATTAGATTTGAGTCTGGTTATTTAGATACTAAAATTTTAGATCCATCTGATTACTTAATTAGTTTTAGTTCGTGTTTGATATTAGTTTTAAATCGGTTCGGTTCATCGGATCTATATATTTACTTATGTTTGAGAACTTGCTAGGCGCTAGTCGGGCGCTCGGCTTGGGACTAGCGCCTAGTCAATAAATCAGAGATTAATCGGGGATTAATCGGGAATTAATTTTTTATATTTTTATTATTAATATGTGAATATATACAACGTTATGTGTTTTGACATCAACGTAGGTCCAGTGTTCGATCCTTCGTCAAAACATATTAAATTTTCGGCCAAAAAAGTTTTAGAAACATAGAAACCAAAGTCCCACATCGCTAAGGTATGAAGATGAGAAGTGTTAACAACATCTATAAGTAGTAACACTTAGTTTAACTCAGATCTTACAATTGGGCTTTAACTAAAAGCCCACAATTAATCAAATTAGTTAATATTTAGGCGGTGTTAGTCAGTTAAAATCGGCTTGAAAACTGATTAATCGGTTAATTGATCAATTTTCTGGTCACCCGATTAGTTAAACCGCTTAGGTCTTAATCACGGCGGTGATTGGCCGAGGAGCGCCTAGCCGGGCGATTAATCGGCTAGGCGCCTGCATTTTAGTACATAGATATTTACCCTTACTTACTTTCTTCTACCAATATAAAGAAAAATAAATGTAAAACAAATATCTTGGCTTATTTAACACTCATAATCATTAGACTATACTTCAAAAATAATAAAAATGATTGGACGTCGTGTCAATATTATTGGGCATATTGCAAAATTAACGTAAGCTATAACCAATAACGTGTATTTTCTTATAAATTTTTTTGGAAACTAGTAAAAATACTATACAATCGAGCAAAAAGGACTAGATTTGCGTGTAAAATAATGTGATTTTTTTACTTAACATCTGAATTATGTTTTCAATCGATATCATGAATTTTATTTTCTTTTATTTTTTCTGATTTTTTTTTCTAGTAATCTGATTATGTTTCTAATTCTTGGTGTGATATGAAAAATTCGTAAAGAAAATCAATATTTGGCTAAACGAAAGACCCGACTTCGTGTGTAGTCTTTTTTATTTAAGTTTTCTTAATTCATAATCAATCACAATTATTCGTTGCTTTTGTGAACATAAAGCTCAACCATAGCCAACGACAAGATATGAAAATTTCATTTTTAAGAACATTCTCATTCTAGCATTTTAGTTGATATGAATCTTAATGATTTTTTATTTATTTATTTTAAAATGGTATTATTCAATAGTTTTACAAAGATAATTTTAATTAATTTCAGTTCACTATTACAAATGGTAAAAATGAATGAACTAAAAATGAGCTGATTGATAAAAAAATAGAATGCGAACACATTAAATTGTCTTCAGTGTAATTAAAAAAATTAGAGTGTGAACACATTAATTGTCAAATGATTGTGAGGACGACATGTCAGCATATTCAAAAAATATAGTGTGATCGCATTATTAGAAATGTTTCTCCTTTAATATATAGGAGATATACTGGATAACAATTTTTTAGATTACAAGTTAAATTATAATTTCTTACAGTTTATATTTACATTCTGTTTTGCTACAAAAGATATACGATCATCGTGTTGATTCTCTTACAAACAATGGTATGGTGACAATCTATGAAAAGGACATAGTTTTGCTTTCAGCTATTCAGCTTCGATCAAATCTCTTTGTTTTTTAATCTAACCATGGTTCATTCAACTTTTACGAAATAAAGAACGCATGGAAACATAGATGACCATGACAATGTAAATTTAAAGTAATAGTGCCACCAGAAAAATAGATTGCATCAGCCTGAGTAATAGACACAAAGGTAACAACAGAAAAAAATAAATTCTATCAAACAAACTGCTATATATATGTTCTAACTTTCACTAGATAAGTAAAACTCCAGAAATATAGAAAGCAGAGAAATTAACAAGGCATAAGACATGGGCATTAAGGAACAAAATATCAAAATCTTGAGAAGCTACCACCTTATATGCCATATATTCTTAAGTTTTCAGATTTGAGATTAAGACCTGGCATATCTGGTTTACTGGTTAAGTCGGATTAGTATTTAGTAGTGCAGACAAAATTCGCTTATTCATACAGAAGACAGACGACAAGAAAGAGACACCTAAATCAGGAAAACATATTAGCTAGATAAGGAATATTACGTACAGCTAAGAGACATATCGATAAATTGAACTATAACTCCAAGCAAATCTCCTCCAGAATATCACTGTGCAAACACAAAAAATCAAGTCAAACCAAAATGACTCAAAACCAGTGCTAAACACAGCACCATTACTAATCAGCCAAAGCTTATAAATGATCAAAAGCCATTCCTAAACACAGCAAAATTTACTGATCAACCAAAGCTAATAAATTCCAATGCTAAACATACCAAATTGGCATCAATCACTAGAACTTTTGAGCTCTTATGGTTTATCACCGAACTCCAGGGAATAAGAAATTCTCATTTCCAGTGGACTTTCTGCATATAAAAATTATTCATAACCACACATCAGACACCAAATCAGCACATGACTATAATGTACAAACAAGGACAATTTGTGGCCAAATAAACAAAGTACAATACCTGAAAGACATCAAACGAAAACAATCTGTAACAAAGTAAAACTAAAAAACACCATACAAAAATGGGGCTTACCCTAATCAAAACATGGTGAGATGTGAAAAAATTCATGCTAGATCATAAATTAGTAACTGCATCCAATCACCACAAAAAAATAATTTTTGGAATTGAATTATGGAATCGCAAGAGAAAACCTAATTATCTATTAGTATTTACACAAGATTTCTCTTTTTCCATTATTAAGGAAGTTCCCTAGAAGACAGATCAATTTCTTATTGATTCTTCGTCACTGTATCTTATCATTTCCTATTTGAGCAGAAAAAACATAAATTGCTACATACTATCTAAATAGCATGGAAGATAAGCTAATGAATCTCACATTTTATAAGCATATGTTCCTGTGTAGCCAATAGATTTCCATAAAAGATATTATAATCCGTAAACATCGAAACCTAATCATACACTCGTGAGCAATGCTTCCCGGTCACATCGTGCCTGGTCGTTCTCGGCTGCAAGGTAATCAACAGATCATCAAATTATAAAGTAATCTCAGCTAATATATAAAGAGCGGCACAAACAGAGTGATATTGCCCCATCTTGCCTCATATCGCGACAATATTGTTGAGTTTGTTAAGTTCGTTAGTTCTCAATTAAATGACTTGGTCATATTTCTGTTATTTGTCAAAGTTAGTTGTTGTAGAAATAGGTCTTAGTGGCCTTAGTTGTTTGTGGATGTAATGCTCGTTTGTTTCGGTAGCTTTGTTCAGTTATGTTTATTTGTAAGCCTTATAAGACATTTGGCTCTTATTAATTCAAGTATCATTTTGGAAAAATCTGAGTATTCTTTACATTCGGTGACGATAAGATGCTTACAAATATTCCAAACTTTGATGGTCACGATGATCATTAGAGCGAGTTGATGGAAAATCTGTTGCGAGCCAAGGGTCTATGAACATGGTGGCTGAGGGTTACTATGAGCCAACATAAGTTGTTGAAGTTACTGCTGCTCAAAGGAAGGATCTGGAAGATCTTAAGATGAAGGATCATCAGGTGAAACACTACTTGTTTCATGCAACTGATCAAACCGTGTTTGAAAAAATTCTGGATTGTCGAAACTCCAAGGTGATATGGGATTCGATGAAGAGGAAGTTTGGTGGAAATGAAAGAGTTAGACAATCTCTCCTCAACTTACTGAGAAGAGAATTTGAGGTGTTTTCTATGAAGGGAGACAAGACGATTGATGATTACTTTGGCAGAGTGATGACTCTCTCATACAAAATGATAAGCAATGGTGAAATCATGCATGATTTGAAGATCGTGAAAAGATTCTCAGAACGCTGACAAAAAGTTCACTTACATATTGATCTCGATTGAAGAATAAAAAGACACAAAAGCATGTCCATTGATGAACTACAAAGCTCTTTGGCGGTTCATGAACAAAAGCTTAAGAGAACGAGCCATAAAGAAGAAGATCAAACCTTTAATGTTAAAGGAAGGAGCAGAGGTTCATATCGTGAAGAGGCAGAGGATGAAGATGCTCCTTCAACAAGGCTTTGATCGAATGCTACAAATGTCACAACCGTAGACATTACCAATATGAATGTCCAAACCAGAAGAATGAGGCTCGTTATGCGGAAATTGAGGAAGAACATGAGGTTCTACTGATGGCGTTTGTAGAACTCAATGGTACAACGAGGAGTGACGTGTGGTTTGTGGATTCTGGATGCTCCAATCACATGTGTGGAGACCGAAACATATTCTCAAATTTGGACACAACATTCACACATAGTGTCAAGCTTGGAAACAATCACAAACTCTATGTAAGCGGAAAAGGGGCTGTGAAGATCAAGCTGCAAGGCGTATGTTATGTGCTGAGTGATGTCTATTACATTCCTGACCGGAGGAAAACCTACTGAGCGTTGGTCAGCTGCAAGAGAAAGGCTTGGATGTGTTGTTTAAGGGAGGGACACTAAAGAAATATTGCATCTTTCATACTACCATAGGCCAGATTGCTGAATCCATCATGTGTAAAAAGATAATGTATGTGTTGCTCACTGAAACACACACCAACACAGAGGAAGAAGGACAATGCTTGCAGACTGATAACACAGAGCAAGCAGAAATGTGGCACCATCGATATGGTCATCTCAGCTACATAGGGTTTCTCACTTTGCACAACAAGAACATGGTCATCGGTCTGCCCAGAGTTGAACAAGTTGAGAAAGCAAAAGAAGTATGTAGCTGAAGTGATTGACCATCTTTATCTCGCAAAAGAAGTATGCAGCTGAAGTGATTGACCGATTTGGTATGCAAGGTTTTAACTCGATGAATAATCCAATTGTTCCAGGACAGAAGATTGGCAGTGATGAGATGGTGTGAAGATTGATCCAACACAATATAAGAAAATCGTGGGGAGCTTAATGTATCTCACTGCCACACGTTCGGACTTGATGTTTGCGGTAAGCCTCATTAGCCGTTTTATGTTAAGTCTTACTCAGTTACATCTTGCTGCTGTGAAGAGAATTATGAGGTATTTGAAAGGCACTTTGGAGTATAGGATATGGTACAAATGAGGAGAAGAAAGCAACTTCGTAGCTTACACTGACATTGATTACGTCGGAGATATATATGATAGCAAGAGTACTTTAGGCTATGTATTTTTGATGAGTGGAGGAGCTGTAGCTTGGTCTTCAAGGAAGCAGCCGAATGTAACTCTTTCGAGTACTGAAGATGAATATGTAGCAGCTGCTACTTGTGTGTGTCAGGCTATATGGATAAGAAAGATATTAGAAGAAATCAGTCACGATCAAGTTGGAGAAATAGTGCTGCTGTGCGATAACATCTCTACCATCAAGCTACCGAAGAACGCAGTCATGCATAAAAGATCAAAACATATCAGGGTTCAATATCACTTCTTGAGGGACTTATCTAAGCAAAAGATTATTAAGCTGGTCTACTGTCTAACCTAGATGCAATTGGTAGATGTAATGATGAAACCATTGAAATTAGCTTCGTTTCAGAAGATCAGAGCAACATTTGGAATGAGTATTTTGAACTGAACCTTGTCAAAAGAGTTTAGTTTAAAGGAGGAAATGTTGAGTTTGTTAAGTTTGTTAGTTTTCAATTAAATGATTTGGTAATATTTCTGTTATTTGTCAAAGTTAGTTGTTGTAGAAATAGGTCTTAGTTGCTTGTGGACATAATGTCCATTTGTTTGGTAGCTACGTTTCAGTTATGTTTCTTTGTAAGCCTTATAAAGCACTTGGCTCTTATCAATTCAAGTATCATTTTGAAAAATTCTGAGTATTCTTTACAAATATCTCATGGTGACATGGTCGGTAAGTCCTTGAGAGAGCTGAGAATGATAGTGATATCATAAGTAGAGCTTGAATTAATGAGTACCACAGATGCGATCGTGCCACCGCAAACCATGTCCACCGCCATAATTTGCTTCTTCCGCAAGGTATCGCCGGCGTTTTCGCCTGAAAATTATGATAAGCAACTGATGTAACAATTTTATTGGGTCAAAAATTAGCCCAACTTAATATGTTGACACAGTATTTGACCACAAATCACTAGTTTTATTGACGAAATGAGACAACCCCTGATGATATACATACAATCTATAGCTGAACGTTTGGGCACATATATTGATCTCTAAGCGTTGCGTTGTTGTCATCCACCGTCACCTTCTCCATGGACCATGGATGTTTGCGTTATTGATCAAGAGGAGGAGAAGAAGATTGGTTTGAGCTTACATAATTTGGTTTGAGTTTGTAATTAATTAAAAAAAAGAGTTTGTAATTAATTTGATTTTTGGTATCAAAATCATATCATTAACAGATAAAACCAATATTTGTGCGTAATTTGGTTTTAATTTTTTTTTTTGTTGAGATGGTGTATAAGTTTCCATTTTTCACTTTATTGAGACATAAGTCTGCAACTTTTAAATGATGGATAACTAGTACAAAAAGTTTGTGTAGTTTTCTTGTTATATAAAAGTTGCCATTAAAAATATAAGTTGGCTCATTTTTTTAAAAAAATGATTGAACATCTAGATATCAATATGAGAATTTTATGTTCACTAAATGTCCATCCTGACTTCATTACTAAAAACCGCATATACAAGCTAACTATTTTTTTCCATACACAGTGTAGTTAAATACTAATAAAGGTCATTTGAACAGTTAGGCTAACCAAAAATAATTATAACGATTATTCGATTTAATATATAGTATATTAGAAAGTACTTATCACTTCACAATATAATCACAGTATAACCAAGATTGAAAATGCCTAAAAATCATAAATTCGGAACTTCTATAAAACCTTTAACTTTGTAGTATTGGTGTTATACGAAAATCCAATGAAAAAGTTAATCATTAGTCTATTTTTTTTCTAACTTGTAAAGATTTTAATATATTTTAAAATTTGTATTCACTAAATGTCGATACCAACTTCCTACTAAAAGAGGCAGATATAAATTAATTATTTTTCATATAAGGTATAAGTAAATTATAATAACGGTTGTACAAACCAAATTTGATTTAATATATCAAGTTTGTTAGAAAATATGTAATTACTTCCCAATATAATCAAAATAAAACAAAGCATTGAAGATGTTTAAAATTCAAAAAAATTGAGGCTTTATCTTTATGTAGTACTGGTGTTATATAAAATTTTCAGTGGAGAAATAAATCGTTAGACTATTTTTAAAATATATAAAGACTTTAATATTCATTAAATGTCTGTACCGACTTCGTTACTAAAAACGCGGGATAAAATTACTTATTTTCATGTAGCTATAACTAACTAATAATAACGGTAATTTGAAAAAAAATCGTTATACTACCCAGTTTTGTTGTAATATATAGAGTTTGTTAGAAAAATACTTAATTATTTTACAATATAATCACAATATAACCAAGAGTTGAAAGTATCTATAAACACCATAAATTTGAAACATGTATGAAACCTTAACTTATGTTGATCTAGTGTTATATAAATATCTCGACGGAGAAATAAATCGTTAATCTATTTTAAATTTGTTTTAATTTTATATTCACTAAATGACTATATCGACTTTCGTACTAAAAAACGCGGGTATTAAACTACTTATTTTTCATGTAAAATCTAATTAACAGTTATTTGAAAAACCGTTATACCATCCAAATTTGATTTTATCTATGAACCTTAACTTTATATAGCATCGGTGGTACATAAAAGCCTCAGAAAGAAAGAAATCATTAGTCTATTTATAAAAAAAGTTGTTTTATTTTATATTCACTAAATATCTATACCAACATCCTAACTAAAAAAGCGCGGGTATTAAACTATTTAGTTTCATATAAAATATAATTAACGGTTATTTGAAAAAACCATTATACGATCCAAATTTGATTTAATATATGTAGTTTTTTAGAAAAATATTGAATCACTTAACAATATAATCAAGCACTGAAAAATGTATCAAAATCATAAACTGGACTCATCAACCTTAATTCTGACTCCCTTGTTCACCTAAAGAAAAAGAGAAAAGTTGTCAAAACATTTCTTAAATGAGAATGAATCTCTCTAAACATCCACTAAATCTCATAATAATTGACCAAACTCATAATAATACAACAAAGACAAAATGTAAAAAAAAACTGCCGAATCACTAACCAAGACTCTAAATGGTGTGTAGAATCCAAACCTAGTTAATGCTGGCCTTAAATACTGCAATCGTTAAGAATAAGAAAAAGGCTTATCGACAAAAACTTAATTGATTGCAGTAAAAAAAAAAAAGAGAAAGAACATCAACACACTCTTATACCCATAATCACCTTTCGAACCAAACCAAACACAATCCTCTTTTCATATTGCTTTGTCTTCGTTCTCGATTCTCTGTACTTGTCTTGTTTCGTTTTGGCCATCGTCGAAAGGTTCAGTTTCGAGGGCGTAGTTTACAACGAACTGATTCCTCTCGTTTGTTTTTTGATCAGCCAATCGATTTCATGGCCGCGGATTTATATGATTGTTCTGTAATGGAACATAGTTCGTCCTCATGTTCACCCTTTCCGCCGCGTCTCTCTCCGTCTAAGGAGCCAGAGTTCTGGAACAGAATGGAGGAAGCCACCCGTGAGATTATAGAGCATGTTCATCCAACACTTGTGTCCGAGGAACGGAGAAGAGATGTGATTGATTATATGCAAAGATTTATCAAAACGAGAGTTGGATGCGAGGTTTATTCCTTTTGTTAAAATATTCTCTGTTAAATGTTCTTATTACATTCATTGTCTTGATAATTTAAAAAGGTGATGTGTGTTGTTTTTTTTTTTTGTTACTAGTGGAAGGTTCTTACGTGTGTGTGTATTGTGTATTTTTAGGTGCATTCTTTTGGATCAGTCCCATTGAAAACGTATCTTCCTGATGGAGATATTGATCTCACAGCTTTTGGTGGACCCTGGAGCGATGAAGAACTGGCCCAAAAAGTTTTCACTGTGCTTAAGAATGAGATACAAAATGTGGATGCCGAGTTTATAATTAAGGATGTCAAGTTGATACGTGCTGAGGTTTGTTTTATGTTATTTTATACTTTGAAAACTCTTGAAACTAACCTCTGCCCGTGAGTATTGCAAGTATGTGTGTGTGGGTGTTTATAACTTATCTTATCTGTTGCAGGTTAAGCTTGTGACATGTTTGGTGCAGAACCTTGTGGTTGATATCTCTTTTAATCAGCTCGGTGGGATTTGTACTCTGTCCTTTCTCGAGAAGGTAATCTGTGCTCTTCAAGTTGTGTCAAAGATTTCAGATTGATGTTGACAGTTTGATAATGCAGATTGATCAGCTCATTGGAAAGGACCATCTCTTCAAGAGAAGTATCATACTCATCAAAGCTTGGTGCTACTACGAGAGCCATATTCTCGGGGCCGTTCATGGATTGATTTCCACATATGCTCTGGAGACGTTGGTCTTATATATTTTCCATCTCTTCCACTCATCGTTGGATGGTCCACTATCTGTAAGAGTGTTAAGCCACCATCTTAACCCACAAATCATGATTTCTTTTAGTCTCTCATACTGAGCTTTTTTTTTTTGTTTTTTTTTTTCCGCAGGTTTTATACAAATTCTTGGACTACTTCAGCAAGTTTGATTGGGATAAGTATTGCATTAGCCTGAATGGACCTGTCTGCCTTTCCTCTCTACCAGAATTTGTTGGTAAGCATTTATTTCCTCTATTTAAATCTGCAGATCCTTTTTGTGATCTGCATTGTCTTTGATTTTTGTAGTTGAGACTCCGGAAAATGGCGGGCAAGATCTATTGCTGACCAGTGAGTTCCTTAATGGATGTATGGAGATGTACACTGTACCTCCACGAGGTTTTGAGACAAACCAACGTGTGTTTACATCAAAGTATCTTAATGTAGTTGACCCGCTTAAAGAAAATAACAATCTTGGTCGCAGCGTGAACAAAGGTTGACTTCTTTTCTCCTTGGAGTTTATGTTCTAGATGAATCTGTTTAAAACTCATGGATATTGCTTTCTCTTACGTACACAGCTAACTTCTATCGCGTACGAACTGCATTCACATATGGTGCTCGGAAGCTTGGGCAAATCATTTTGCAGTCAGAAGAAGACATAAGTTCTGAGCTTCGCAAGTTCTTCTCGAACATGCTACACAGGCATGGGAAGGGCCAGAGGCCCGATGTCCTTGATGCTGTAAGGTACATATCACCTGCGTCAGCTGCCAACCATTTCCAAATGGTTTACGATGGTAGGCATGAGCAGGAACACTTGCTGTGTGCCGGAGCCAATGTATCGAGGACGGCCACATCAGTTTCAGAGGAACAAGTTGGAGGAGACGCAAAAGAGTTTGCTACTGTGAGGATACAAAGGCATGAGATTTCTGACCATGTACGTGATAAGGAAAGGGTCTCTCCTTTGAATGGTAAGCATCCAAATTTTCTGTCTGACCTCACAGGGGATAACGACAGTCAGCTCAACAGTTTGCGATATGGACGCTGGTGGCTTGATTATGTCCAAAACGGTCATATGTCTCCACAGTGGACTCAGTTTCCGAATAACAATCCATGGGAAGTGTTTCCACACCCACTGCCATTCACCTGGAATGCCCCTGGTCTAGTAAACGCCGATGGCTTTCATATGAACCCTCACGTGATTCCAGATGCTAATTTTGGTCTCGAGGAATTGCCTAAGCTTCAAGGAATAGGGACATACTTCCCCAATGTGGTATGTACACGCCTCGCTTTCACACATCTCTTATTGACACTCTATCAAACCTCTCAATGGCCAAGCTTCCTAACGTTCCTTTTGTGCAGAACCATTACAGGGATGAACCGTTCTTTTCAAGAAGAAACTCACGTCGTAACAACGGCCGTAGCATGGCACACTTGCCATCAGAAATGAATTTGGTTGACGGGAACACCCGTGAGCGACACCATCATCTTCATCATAGGACCAACCAAACAAATGGTCCTTGTGATATGAGTCAATCTGGTATACTTGGAAGCTTCTCTGGTACCACCAATGAGCCTATAAATCATCCAAATGAGCCTCTACCAGCTGAAGTACTCTACCATCCTGAGGGCAGCCAGCAAAGTGATATCACAACATCTATACCCTCCTCGTCCATGCAGGAAGCTAGGTACAGTATACCTTCTGACCATTAAAACGTCATTGAGTTATTACTATTTGATCATCGAATGTGTGCTTCCCTGGTTTCTAATTCATTCATTGTGGTATGTGATATGTAGGGTAACAGCTAGGAAGTCATACCATTTGACGGATGATCAGGATTTCCCTCCTTTGTAGCTCTCATCTGATCACAAAAACTTGCTCGTTAGACCGTTATAGGAACTGGTATAGCTTTCTAACTTGTTTGTTTGGTGGGACTGATTTGTTTTGGGTTATGTTGTTGTTGTTGTTGGTTCAATAGATTTTAATTTATATAACTTTATAAATCAAAATATCAAACTCTGTGGACAAAACCTTTGAAGAGTTTTGCATTTTATACTTAAAGATAGTTTGTGGTCATCGTCTGGACAGTCGTGGACATAGGCAAGTGAAATTACTAAATCGTCCAGAGGTGCAAAGTTGGTTCTTAACTTCTAAAATTTTAATAACAAACAAATTTTTTTATTAAAATGCTCCCAAAATCTCGTTTTCATCTACTTGGAAATCTGCTCTTCTGAAGATGATCAGGCTCTCTTCGGGCTGTATACTGAATCTGTTTGACTTTTATATTATATGTTCCATTCAAACTTGATCGCTTCTAGCTTGTTGAAACTCTCTGGTGAGACGACAGAGGAGACGGTTAAGGTTGTTACAGAAGATGAGAACGCTTGTGGACACGAGAACGCAGGTGCTGCATCAGATCGCTAATGGAGTTGATCAACAGGCGGCGTGGGAGTGGCTTCAACACAAACGTGAACGAACTACAACATCAACCCTCCACTGACTTCTTGAGACCATCTTGGGAAATGAATGAGAGCCTTTGTGGCTTTTTCATGATAAAAGACACATATTCGTATTGGTACATTAGCATTTTCCTTTGATGATATTATATTAAATATAGTCTTCTTGCATATAATCTTTACAGGAGCTTTTTTTTTTAATCTTCAGCTCGATTTCGGTTTGAAACCACTGCAAAACCACACAAAGTTCGATTTTCTAAACAAAATTATAGTGATATTGTAATATTCAAATAATCACAAGAATCATAAGACGCGACCAACTCGTAGATAAAGATGGTTGTTCATCTTCTCGTATCAAACGTAAGAGGCAGTTGAACAATTCAAGAAAGTAGCAACAAGGAAATGGTTATTAGATGATGTAATAAGCAATCCATTTGAATGAGTTTTAAGTTAATTTTGTTATCAGTTTAATCAACTTCTACAAATAAAACGCATTTAAAAGTTGTACTGAACTGTTATTTATAGAGAAGTTAAACTAAAAGAAGATATACTTAAATCTATAAAAAGTAATAAGAGTTGATCATATATATAAGAAGAAAACATAATGGAATATTAAAAAGAAATTTGCGGTAATTAGGTTATCTAACCTCATGCATCCAAACAAATCATGTATATTAAAAAATTCATCGGTTACATGAGCTTGATTTTGTCACGTACTATTATAAATTAAAAGCAATGAAATAGAAGGAAACAATAATGAAATGCATGTAGAGTCTCTAAAGCTAACAACATATATAACTCCAGGACCAAAGGTCGATAGAAAGAGTATACCAGAGGGACCAAAGGTCTAACGTATGGAGAGCAAAGGGCCATCGCCAATAGTTCCACTTGTGCTCGTCGTAGTCTTCGGATGGATCCTCTACGGCTCATACCTTATCTTACTATTAGAGGATTGTATATTACCAATCTTACAAACTGGAACATTCATTGTCGGAATCCTTCTCTTACTTCTCCTTCTGCTTCTCCATATCTTCTCTTCTTCTTGGATCTCGCCCTGGATCCCTTCCCTTCTCCTTCTACCATCTCCACCCTCTGCCACTTCCACTGACTCTGAGAGCTTTGGTCTGGGATCCTTTCTGTTGCTTTCCCTTTTTTTCATCTCCTTCTGGTTGTTTCAGTCATTATAATTAATGTTAATTAATGTACTTGAACATATTACTTTAAATATATCTTTAGTTGCTGTACATCTTCTTGAAAAACACTACTTTGTTAATCATGCAAGACTCCAGCATGTAATTGTTTCGATAATTTATTTAAGTTTATGGTTGTAACGAGAGGAAGAGGAGAAACAGGTTAGAGTAGTTCTTCCCTCTCATATATGAATTTAGAGATAACGATCAACTCAATTTGTAAATTGTAATAAGCATGATCATCTACAAAAGTGAAGGCAAAAATCAAATCTCACTTGTGAAGAACCATCACAACTCAGCGATGAAGCCGCCTGTGCAATCAATGCAGCAAACTGAGAAGACATAGCAAACATAAATGGAGACCTAAATTAATTTGCGTAATAATGAGTTCAAACAATCTATATAGACTCTGAAAATAAAGCCAATTCCACATAAATACTACTATATCACAATAAAATAAATATTGTCATTTATTTGAGTAACTCAGTAGCAATATGTCACTACTCTATTTACAAAATATCATTTTAATTCGACCAAAATACTATATAGAGTCGGATGGGACTGGAATGTAATTTGTGGCGGCAGGTAGAGTTGAGCACAATCTAGAAGATGCATGGTTCGGAAGGTCACATGCATGGCATCTGCGAAATAACTGGTGGTATGGTTTTAATAGTAACAAAAACATATAGATTTTCGTTACAGTTAACTGTAGTGCAGTGCATGTGCGTTTTGTAACTTTCGAACCCGTATAATCGGTTTGGTAGACACATTTAAACAAAAATGAGGTCAATTTTTTGCAGATAAACACATTTGTGTCTTTGTAATTCTCCGATTGTCTATGGTTAATGGGTTTCCTACATCTATTCATTTGGCTAGTAAGTTCTATATCATGCGACGAGCAGTGTGTTTATTTTTTGAAGGCTCGAAAGTCTTGTTTAGTACGTAACTCTGCAATTACCACATGATGTTTCCTTGAGTTTTAGTCTCAATCATACGATATAACAAATCACTTTTGGATAGATTATGTGTGTTCTTACTATTCCAGTTCAAGCACATGATTTTTTGCATGTGTGACTAAAAAAATAAATACATTTTGGTGACATGCGTAGCTAAATCAAATTTTTAAATCTTTCCATATACCACAAATCAATATTATAATTTTTCTCATCTCACAAAATGCAACGTCTTCGTTACGTCTCAAAATGGTTACCTATATTAATGTGATCCATAAGGACTCCATTCATGTCTGAGTTCAGCTCTAATATCACTTATAATACCCTAACCATTCATGGCTATGGGCTTTCCACGCTCACACACTCGGCATGTGGGCCTCATTCAGTGAGATGGGTAATTATTCGAAGGTTTGAAAGTCTTGTTTTCTGATCTTATAATCGCTACACGACTTTTCTCCGTGTTTTGGTTTCGTTCACATGATATCATAAATCACTCGTGATATGTCATACATCTTTCTACTACTCCAGTTCAAGCACACTTTAACCTAGAATTCTTTCCAGATATATGATCGAAATATAAATTCATGATATAGGTAACAAATCAATTCTTTTAAGTCTTTTTTATATAAAAAAAAACCAGAATATTATAGCCGCGCATGTCTATGGCCATGCCTTTGTCCTCTCATAGTTTGATAGAGTTTTGAAGATGCAAGCCAGAACTTGTAGATGTCAATAGTCTGCCTTGACAAAGTTGGTGATGAAGTCAGTGATGTTGGACTGCCCAGTGTTAACAGAAGGCATGCGGAGTGGTGGGTACCATGTAGATTCAAGATGCTGAGCTTGAGAAGAATAAACTGAGGTTTATGTATTGATGTACTCGCCGAACTAGTTGGTAACATAGGTTGTGTCAGATAGTGCACCAGAAGGCATGTGAGTGGTAGAGACTATGTGGATGAAAGATGCTGAGCTAGCATAATATAAACTTGAGTACTCTGAAGAAAAAGTAAGAAGATAAACTTGAAAAACAAATTTATGCCTTGAAGAAAATGAATAAGTACAATTCTAAAAAAGAGAAATGTACTTATTTATATAGAAATTATTCATATCCATCGTTTCCTTAGATAAGAGTGTGAAGATTACTATAAAATAGTTATGAGTTTGTTCGTATTCCATAAGATATTAAAACTGATTATTATAGAGGAAGAATGAAAATGCTTTAGAAATGTGCTTGGGTCGTGTTGAAGTAAATAGTGAAATACCAACGAGAAAGATAATTTTGGATAGATTATGAATCTTTTTAGTATTAGTTGTTATGGTCTTAACAAATATTGTGTAAAGTTTTAAACAAATCTTATAATATATTGTATAGGTGATGTCTAATATAACAGAAAGTGTTTTGGTAATTCTCATTATCTCTTAATTTATCTTTCATTTTATTTTATTGTGGTTGTATCTTGTATTTACAAATTTTTCATCTTTTACTCGAGACCGCTCTGGTAGATACAGAGCCGGACCTGACAATTTGGAGGCCCTATACAAAAAATATAAACATCATATACGTATATTGCAATTCATATTTCACACTAAAAATTATGACTATCAAAACCCTTCATACAAAATCCCCAATAGAAACTGTGGAGATTTAAATGAATAAACAACAAAAGACCTTCTACCATTTTGATTATTACATGCGAATCAAAAAAACAATTTTGTTGTTTTCTTATGAACAAAACAATTGAATAAAGATCTGCTACAGTTCTGATTTCTATTCGAGAAGAATATGAGAAGAGGTTTGGCAAGTTTAGTAATACATACAAAAGAAACTGGAATTGGGGGCCCCATTAAGTGGGGGCCCATTCAAATGTTTCCAATGAATGTGTGCAAGCCCGGCTCTGGGTAGATACTCGACGCATAAATAAATGGCTCTTGCCGATCTTGCTCATCCCACCGCTATAATTAATGTCTATATATTTTTAATGTTGATGATCTCAGAATTCATGGTATTTTTCTAAAAATACCTATTATAAAATATATAAAGGAAAAATAGAAAAAAAAAGAGTGATTTAGCTCAAAATACCAAAAGAAATAGATATTTAGGGATTTGTCATATTTTAGGGGGAAAAAGTAGTGATGGGGGGAAGGAAAGAGAAGAGAGAAATAGGGTATGGAGTTAAATAAGGTGTTTTGTGTGTGTATGGTGTGCAAATACTCAAAAAAAAAATATGAAAGTGAGAAGCTTTTTTTAGCAATTTTTCTTGAAATATTCTGAGAATGTTTGTGCACGCTTGATAACTTATATATTGAATTTAAAATTTTAATTAAATAGTAAATTAGATGAAGATCAATATTACATTTGTGAGAAACTATTATAATTTTTTTATTAGTGTTTTCACTAAGCTACTGGTGGTCACCTGCTCACCCTTTTCACTCGCATGTGCGGATGTGCCTAGGAGTGGTATGTCTTTTTTTCTGAGAATTTATTAAGTTTTTTATTTATTTATATGTTTTGGGTTGGGTGTAGTTTGCATATCATGTTTTCGGAGTTGTGATGAAGCAATGAATATTTGATTGGTCTTGTCCACTTTGTGAATACGTTGGCCGTGTGAGATACGTTGGCCGTATGAGACTAGAGAAAGTCTTTGTATCTTTTCCATATCATACACATGGATACGCTCAACAACACAAAGCCACACTCTCTCAGTTGAATATTTTTATAACTTCTGTATTTGAGAGTACGGCATAAAATTAGGTTCCAAATGTTTTGTTTTCCAGTGATGGGAGACAGAAATATATGGCAGTTGTATCATGGTATTTTGAAACGTAATGTAAACTGGACGTTTACAGAAGTAAGGAAATAGTGTCTCGCCCTAAAAATCCGTTTTCTTTCCAAACTCTTGTATCAATATTTTATATTTATCAATTTATTCATGCAAATATTTACAATTATTCAGTTTGCCCTATTGTAAAATTTACGTTCTTACAATTGTTTCTCATGTTGGTTATTTTAGTCTTAAATGCTCTTAGTTGGATTTTGAAATATCATCTTGCTATTTTCTGAATCCCTATTTGATCTCACTTTGAATACCACTATAACTATACTGTGGTCCATATCAAGAACGTGCGTACCAATGGTTGGGTCCCAATCATAACCAGTGACAGTTGTAAATTAGTGAATTATTTTTGTCTTCTCGGAAATGTTTTTTTTTTCTGTCTAGTACCTTGATTCATTAAGTTAATGTATTCAAATAACATTTATAAATAGGAAACTCAGAGACTTTGAAGTTTGTTCCTAATCTAGTAATCTTCAACTAGGAGACTACTTCTCTAATAAAAATTGTTGAAGTGATAAGAAGAAAATGAAATTATGACCGAGTCCAATGACTCAGTCTACGCCTCTCGGATTAAGATTATATGGTCAAGGTGATCTTATTGAATGACGATATAATATCGTATAATAAATAAACATACACTTAAATCTTAATGATACAAACAAAATAAAAAGAAAAGATATGTAAATAAAAAAAGAAGAAGAGATATGTGACTGTGTGTATGTGTTGTTTGTTAACTCGAATGAAATGATTCTATAAGTGAAGATTGTGTTTGATGAACAATAATAGAGATCATAAAACTATAGTTTAGAAGGAAGAGGCAAAGAATTGATATCAAAAACTTTGAAGATAAAACGAGTGGGGTGAATAGAGAAATGATTGTGCAGAATAGAACCAACGGCAGCAATAAGGTTTCTCTTAACTTGTTTGGTGATGCCTCCCATAGAAACAATCTCTGCATATGCAGCTGCTTCTTTGTTTCCGCCAAACACTATTTCTGTTGACCCCTTCAACACCACCATCACCAACTGCAATAATATATATATTTTTTGTTTTAAAAAACTTAGAATTTGTAAGATTCTAATCTCCTAAATCTTCTCAACACATAAAATCAAGATTATAGAGGAAACAACTCTTGGCTATGCACCACAATACACATTATAGGGTTATAAGCAACTAATAATTAATTTCAGTAGGATATCTCAATTATTTTACATATAAAATATCTATAATAGAATAAAAAATGATGATGTTGACTTTTTATAAATGATTTCGAAGCCATCTTCTTTCTTTCTTTGTCAATATGCCAATTTAAGTGAAACCTCGTAGAAGATAGAATATGTAATAACACTATTAAATACATTAGACACAAATTAATTTGTGCAAGTCAAGATTAAACCTAGAAAAGTGGTCTATAAGAAAATGGAATCAAACTTAAAGTGAAGAGAGCTTCTTACGTTTTCAGGCCGTCCGACGATGGAAGCTACGGCTTTTGTGACTTCTGAGTAGAACGGATCGGTGTTATAGCCGTCCAGCTTGACGTTAGTTGTGATGTAAAGACAAGGCATTTTGTCACCGTCAAGCAAGAATCTGAGGAACAAAAAGAAGGATCAAGAGAGGATTTATTTTTGGAGTTGAAGTTGGAGATGAAGAAAAGAAGACCTCACATGGGTAATAAATAGAGAACTTACAAAAAAACCGTCTCCAAGTTAATGAAGTGTTTAATAAGAAATGATTTGAGTTAAAAATGATTGAGTTGTATTACTAGAAAATGTGTATGATGTGAACAATTTTTGAAATAAATATCTTTGGTGTTTCAAATCTGACAACTTGACGTGTAACTAAATCAATTACCACAGCTACGTCGCCCTCTGAAGCAGTTGGTCTCAAACCCAAATTGGACCACAGAAGAAAAGAAAGAAAAAAAAGCACGTTCCTGCTTATTCTTGGGTGTTATGGTGAAACAATTGTAGTAAGACTTATTTTTGGATTAACTCTCTATGATAAACACTTTAAAGGATGCATCTATAGATTTACTAACGAATAGTATTTTGTTATTTCATATTCAATATCTTATTATATAGAACTTGGTTCTTCAAAAATTACTAATTAACAAGATTGTGATACATGACAATATATATTTAAGATTGTGACATGTGTTAAATTATCTCATAATTAATATATATATAAATATAATTATTTAGATGATGACAAAAACGACTTTTGTTAAAAAAAATGATTTTAGAAATATTATGTAATAGTAATTTTCCATTTTTAAATCCTAAATAAAAGATATTTACAACAAAAAAAATTATAATAATTTTCCTTTTAATATATTATTTAGATAATGACAAAAACAAATTTCGTTAAAAATAATTTAGAAATATTATGTAATAGTAATAAGATGTAACTAGGTACTTGCCCGCACCTTGTGCGGGGAATATATGTCCAACAATATTAAATATGTTTTCGTATTAAAAATTTTCATCATAATGATCATTAATATAAAATATTTTTAATGTTTTTGTCTTTAATTTTAAACGTTAGAATATAGACCATAATTCACCATATCTCATATACTTTATATTTTTTGTTTCTCTTCTTCTTTTTTTGTTTGTTCTTTCTCCTTTTTCCTTTTGCTCTTTTTTTTTCTATTTTCTGATTTATACTATGAAAATAAATCAGAAACTCAATTAAAACCAAGTCAGTTGTAATCATATTCCAAATCTTCTAAGGTTATTAGGTTTTGCTGTTAGAATATGAGTTTGAAGGTCTGTATACTAAGACTTTTAGTGGGTTTTATGGTTTGGTTTGGATCTGGGCATTCAGTTTAATTTTGGTTCAAATATTTTGGGTTCGGTTGGTTATTTCAGTTTTCGGTTCGTTTAGGGTAGCAAAGTTAGAAACCGGATAATATTAGGAAAAAATTAGGTCTAGTTTGGTTCCACTTCGGAGGGTAACTTCTGATAGTTTAGAGTTTTTCAGGTTAAATATCAGTTAATTCAAGTTGTTTGGGTAAAAAATATCGGGTTATTCGGACAATTTTAAATATCAGTTCATCAAGATAATCTTCACATGGATGAACTGTCATTCCTACATGTGCGACATGCAACAAAATACCACTTTGGAGTAGTTTCAATGGAAAAAAGTGTTAACACATTTTCCCACCTATAGAAACAAACAAATAACTTCACATAAAACTAAGTTCATCAATAACTTCAGTTGACATCCGTTAGTTGTAACCAAAACTATTTAGTAAAATGGAACATACTTCATTCGATACATTCAATGCACCAAAAGTTTTTTTTTGGATTCTTAATGAAAAACTCATCATATAAATCTACTCTTATAGGCGTAGATTTTGGATCAAAGTTTTCTCTAGTAATAGCCAAATCATCATTGGGCAATTTGGATTTGGAGTCGAGCACTTCTTGTAGTTGTGGATCAAAAAGAATTTCAGTGGCATTGAATACATTAGAAACAGTAACAGCTCCTAAAACATCAACATAATTACAACAAAAAATAAAAATATTATCAGCAATTTAGATGTTAGATTCTGTGGGGAAAAATACCTCTGAATTCTCGCACACAAACAAATCGAGCAACACAAACAATACATGATGCTTCATTAGATTTAAATAAATCTGATACTTCCTTTGCATACCCAGACCACAACGTGCATGTTAAACGTGTATCACTAAATATTTAAAATACAAAAAATATAAGATTATTAAAATAAAATAATATAAAATTAAAAGCTGAATAAAACTTACGTTATGTCACGAATTGTTAATTCCAGCTTAGTTGTTGACTTTCCTTTTGCCATGAAATCTTCTAAAGGTCCAACATTCACAACTTCACCAATAATATCTAAAACACAAAACATTAGAATAATGAACTGGTGAAAAAGAGAATATTAATAGGGACACATCAATTTAAAACACTATGATATAGAAAATTTACCGATCAAGACTTCTTTTTCAAACTCACATCCTAATATTTCTTTAAAATATTTGAAATAACTATTTGGCAACTCTTTTGAAAAATCATCACAAAGAGTGATTTTGGTTGTTCTATAAAAGTTAATCTTAAAAGGAAGAGGATTCGTTCTATATTCTCTTGTATAATCACGATGGTAAAATTATCCAGAATAAAAGAGGCTCCTTGAAATAACTTAGATTTGAAGTTACTAAGAGAATAATGCTTTTGTATTCTTTTGTTTAGATTCTATTAGCTCTCGATAATGACAAAGTCAACAGCGCATAATCAATATAATAACCAACTAAAATATTTTGATAATGCTTTTGGTCAAACATGTATTTTACCGGACTAAAATTAATATAGTAACCAACTAAAATATTTTGATAATGGTTTTGGTCAAACATGTATTTTATCGGATTATTATTAGTTAATAATTTATAATAATCAACAAAAAGTTAAAAACATGTTAGATAAGTATTATGAATGAAAATATTATGAAAAATATGATTTAAAACTAAAATTATAAAAATTACCTAAAATCAAGGAGGATATGACACTTCAGAAAAATTACTTTTTAAATAATAGTATATATATATGATTTAAAACTAAAAATTACCTAAAATCAAGGAGGATATGACACCTCAGCAAAATTACTTCTTAAATAATAATATAGATTAAAATATCTTATGATTACAAAAATATACTAAGATAATAAAACAAAATTGAAGATATTAATTTTTTTTTAAATTAAAAAAAAATTAAACGTTTTTAATTGTATTTTTCCTTTTACAAATTCTAAAGAAAAATATTTAAAATCATAAAAAAGAATTTGAAAATAATAATTTTAAATATGGTTTAAAAGTTAAAAAAGAAGAAGCAAGTGTGTTGTAGGTTTTCCTTTTTTTTATTACAAACCCTAAACAAAAACAAATATTTGTAAAATAATTTATTTATTATAAATTTGAGTTTTCTAAAATCTTAAAAATATTATTTGATAGTAATTTCTCTTTTAAAAATTTTATATGTTAAAATATATCATGATTAACAAAATATATGTACGAAGACGATGAAAATGATTTTTACCACTAAAATTAATTAAAAATAATTAATAGCAATTTTTATAAAGCATGTTCTTTTTAAAAGTTTTGAATTAAAAAAAATTTTAAAAAAATTATTTGATTTTAATTTTCCTTTTCCAAAATCCTGAAGAAAATATAATTAGAAAAAAATCTTTTATAGTAATTTTCCATTTCTAAAATCTTGAAAATAATAAATTTATGAAAGAATGTTTAATAGTGTTTTCCATTTTTTCAAATCCTATAAAAAAATATTTGTAAAATAATTATTTCAAATATTAATTATGTAAGATGATGAAAATGATTTTTACTACTAAAATAATTTAAATGTTATTGTGGCTATAAGATATATGTATTGATGGTTTTATTATCACTAGTTACATGATAAAAGTGATGATCAAAATTATTTCTATGGTTGAATAATTAAAAATTCAAAAAACATAACCAAAAAATATTTATGATCACAAATGCTTAAAAAGTTAAAAATATTTACTGTGACAATAAAATTTCACTAAAATGACCAATAAACATCAATATATTTAAACAATAAGAATAACATATTTAACGTCAAATAAAACAAACATTGAATTGGTACATAACAGGTGTATAATATGTGTATCATATTGTCATTAACTTGATTGACCTTATTTAACTTTCAAATTTTTGTTTATTTCACTCTAATTCTTAATTTGAATTAGACTTGGTTTAAACTTTTATGTATGAGTATTTTCTCGGACCTTAAGTATAAAGTTAAAAACAATTCACTTATGTGCCATGATTAAAAAAAAAATTAAATTCTGAAATATCTCACATAACATATACAAAAATAATCCTAAAATAAAAAATAATTTATTAGTTTATGTTATTTGTAAAATTAAAAAATCAAATAAAATATGTGTTGATTAAAATACAATTACTAACTTGAAATTTATGGAAAACAAATTCTTAATTTTTAAAATAAATCTCACACAACATATGAAAAACAAACCCTCAAACTATAACATGAATTATTATTTTTATATATTTTATAAATATTAAAACATCAAATAAAATCCGTGCAACGCACGGGTCCATATCTAATCTTTTTAAAAAGTAAATAAAATATTATTTAAAAAAATAAAAATATAAAAAATAATAGTTGCAAAAAATAAATTTTTATTAGATATTTTTAAGATTGTTACCAAAACATTAAATCCTAAATCCTAAACCCTTGAGTAAATTCTAAGCTTTCGGATAAATCCTAAATTAAAAACACTAAACACTAAATCTTAAAAACACTAAACCTTTAATCATAACCTCTAAATACATAGATAAAAAAGTAGTAATAGTTGTTTAAAAGAGAAGTTTTTTAAATATTCTTAACGCCATCAATAAAATACTAAATCCTAAATATCAAAGACTAGATTTTAAACACTAAATTCTAAACCCTTAGATAAATCATAAATTATATGATTTACAATTTATCAAATGATTTAGGAGTTGGGTTAAGGATTTATTTTTTTTAGAATTTAGTGTTTAGTGTTTTTGATTTAATGTTTAAGATTTATCCAATATTTTATGGTTTATCCAAGGGTTTAGGGTTTAGAGTTCATGATTTATAGTTTAGTGTTTTGCTGACAATATTAATATTTTTTAAAGAATTTTTTTCCTTTTCTACAATTATTATTATTTTTATTTATTTTACCTTTGCTTTTA